TATTTTGTAATCCTTTATTTTGATCAAAATTTGTCAACTATATTTTTAAAAAAAATAATTTGTTCATAAAAAGCTAAATATAATAATATTTTAATAATTTGTTCATAAAAAGCTAAATATAATAATATTTTAATAAAAGTTATTAAAAATAACCGTGCATGGCACCGGAACTAATCTAGTATGATTATATGAAACGATATATATATATATATATGTCATTGTGTTATTGGCTTTAACATACCAAGATATTTTCTCTTTCATTACATACTTTAATACGGAGTTTTTGTTTTTTTGATTTTTTTTTTTGGAATTATTTGTGAGGTTAAACTTACATACAATACTCGCTCTACCTAACGTAAGCTAACTTGGAAAGTTTATGAAAATCCAGCTAAATTCTAAAAGTACTCAATTTTGGAAATTCTCTACCAAAAAGGAATAAATCTTGGAAGCCATGGATATACTCTCGAATGAAATATGTGGTTACACATGTCTCTTATTATTATTTTGATTTTTATACTATAGGTATTCAGATAATTTGATTAAGTATGCATGTTGAATTAAAATTATAAAAGGTTTTTCTCGATGTATATTTTAAAATTATTAATCATTTTTAAAAAGATTCTATATATTGAGATTACAAACTATTGGGTCATCTAGCCTGATCAAACATTATTCATACTCTTTTTAATCATAATAATTGATTAAAAAGAGTGTATGAATAATGTACGAGTTCAAAGCTCCAACCCCTCAAAATTTACTAAGTATCGAGGGAAATGAAATATCAGTATCGAGATCTAGATGATACAAAGTACTCCCTCCGTTAATTTTTATTTACAACTTTTGTCATTTTAGTCGTTAACTATTATGTGCAACTTTCTATTTTATTTCTATTTTTAATACACAAAAACCCTGAAAATTACAAATTTACCCTTAATTAAAAATTCTGATTTTAATAATTTTACTAGTGGGTGGGCCAACTTTCTCTCTCCAAACACTTTAATCACTTTCATTTGCTAGTGGGTAGGCCAACTTTCTCTCTCCAAACACTTTAATCACTTTCATTTACTCCCACTAATGTTTGCCTCGTAAACTGCAAAACCCCCCAAAATTGCAAATAAAAATTAACGGAGGGAGTATTAGAGATAGAAAGCATAAGCTACTTTATTTTTTTCAAGAATCATGAGCATGTTTGACAGAACATCTTTATATACTTTTTTAACGAATTATTCTGTTACATGTAGCTCCATAATGTTGAAAATACTAGATTAGGGAACTATTTTCTGGTGCACCAAAAAGACAAACAGCTAATCAACGTACTTCGTTTGTTTCAAAAAAAAGAAAAAAAAAGAAAGTACTTTGTATATATTATTAAATCAAAAGAACATTCCTGATTTTCTGATCATGTCCGCTTTCAACTATTTCATTAATTTAAGCCAAGATAACTGAAATTGGAATATGAATACTCTTTATCACCTCAGCATATGCTTTGGTAGTTCGCTAGTTCATGAAGAAAGAAGTAAAAGTTACTAAGTTGTGATGAAATCTTAGATTAATTATGAACAATTTCTTCATGCCGTTTTAATATAAACTTATATTTTCTCGAGAAAATACTACGTCTACATGTATAATTAGTGTCTATTGTATAATGTATACCATAATCATGTACTTACCAAGCAAAGCTTGGTGGATTTGGAGGAGAACTCACGTTGTTATTTTGAGGTCACAAGTTCGAGCCCCACTAACTACAAAAATGCTTAGGAGTAGGGGGATTTCCTTACCTCCCCCTCTAATCTCAAGCGCTAGACTGACTAAACCTGTGAGGTATATATATTTTCGTCTTTTGTATTTCATGTTGGATATGACCCACTACCACCAAAATAGGTCAATTAAATCTCATAAAGAATAATTTGAAGGGGTCATAAACTAATGATTGAATTTAATTAATTTCATGTTATATGGTTTAATAATATTGTGTTGCGAATAATTCTGACTTTTATTGTCTTTCACAACAATAAGAAATAAATTTACATATCACAAAATTTGACTACTCCTATATTTGGTGTTGCCAATGCCAAAATATTTGCCATTTGAAATAGGGGGTGGAAAATAAGATCAAGGAGATATCCGAAAACTAATGATTAAAGAAATTCATTTCATTTTTGTGCTAACTCAAACTCCAAAGTAAATATCCGAACATATGAAAATATCTATTTGTTTTTTTTATTTAAATTATTGCCTATCCTTTCATTTTTTATCCAAAATAATGTACTTAGTCAAATTCCAAAAACCTAATCTAAAATCCTCTCCACATATATTAAAATCATTTAATAGGGAAACGTGAACCCAATCCGTTAGATATGGAGTAGTAATATTCTCCGTCTCTTTTTTAAATTTTTATTTTAGTTTTAAAAAGTAATATTCTCCATCACATACCAAAAACAATAAGCCAAATAAAGTTATCAAAAACCAATTTAAAATAAAATTTAGATCAGCCCCCTAGCAAGAGAAAAAAGGGAGGTCACAGAAATAACGAGAGCAAAAAAGCCATTTTTTATGACTTTGTTTTTAAGAAAATGACATACGAAGTAGTATATAGAAAGGACATGCATGTCGACTTGCTTTGCTATATTGTCTATCTATAACAGAAAGGTAAAACAAAATTTGATTGAGCGTCACTACTCTCACCAGCTCCGTTTTAGGTTAAGTTTGACTAACACATTTGTCATTGATCATTAATATTTATATATGCAAATTTGATATCTTAGAAATTGATATCATTCTTAAATAAATCTTACTTTGTAGTTCATCGATACTACATGTATGTACTTGCAATATTCTACAAGAATCTTACTTTTTATAACTTTGTTTTTAAGAAAATGACATAGGAAATAGTATATAGAAAGGACATGCATGCCGACTTGCTTTGCTATAATGTCTATCGATAACAGAAAGGTAAAACAAAATTTGATTGAGCCTCACTACTCTCACTAGCTCCGTTTTAGGTCAAATTTGACTAACACATTTGTCATTGATCATTGATATTTGGCCAAATTAGAAAATAACACCTGCCAAAAAACCCGATTTTGATTATAACACCAAAACATTTCGAAATTTTATTATAACACCTACAAAAATCCCAAAATTTTGGTTTCACCACCCACTAATTAACGGACTTTTGGATGGAAACCGTTAGTGAGGCCTGCCATGTACACGTGTCAGCTATGTATTGGTTAAAAAAAAATTAAAAAAAAAAAATCTAACCCCCTAACCCAGCCAGCCCCACCACCGGCACCACCTGCCCAGCCGCGGGCATCACCTGCCCTCGCATAATCCGGCGAAATCAGCCCCAGCCCAGCCCTACCGCCAGAGCCACCCTAACCTAGCCCCTCACCTGAAACCACCCTCTTTCTCCTCCCGCCAGAAACCGACCCCTTCCCTTAGCCTCACCAAGAACCCAACCTCAGCAGATTCCGGTGGTGTTGCTGCGCAAAAACCGCTGAAATTGCTGCGAAATTCAGCAGATTCGCTGGTGGTTCTCCGTCAATTCGCAGGTGGTTGTTCGGAAGATTTCGTGGCTCAAGAAACCGGCTGAAATCCTGCAGAATCCGGTGAGTTTCGTTAGTGAAGTTCCGGCGATTTCGCTGCTCAGGAAACCGTCAACTGCAGGCGTTTTCGCGGAGGGTTGTGGTGGGTGGGGGTGATTTTTCGGGGAGAAGGAAGGGGGAAGGGGATTTAGGGGGGGGGGGGGCTGATGTTGGTGGGGGTGACGGTCGGTGGTTTCGCCGGTGAAGGAAGGGAATCCGACGACAGTTGGGGTCTCCGGCGGTGTAGTGACGGTCGGCGGTGGTGGGGCTGGTGGCTGGGTTAGAGTGTAGGGTTTTTTTTTTTGTTTTTTTAATTTTAATTTTTTTTAATTTTAATTTTTAAGCCAATAAACAACTGACACGTGTTCCTAGTGGGTCCCACTAACGGTTTCCATCCAAAAATCCAATAGTGGGTGGTGAAACCAAAATTTTGGGATTTTTGTAGGTGTTATAATAAAATTTCGAAATGTTTTGGTGTTATAATCAAAATCGGATTTTTTTGCAGGTGTTATTTTCTAATTTGGCCTTAATATTTATCTATGCAAATCTTCTTAGAAATTTTCATTGATATTATTCTAAGAGAATCTTACTTTGTAGTTCATCTATATTACATGTATGTACTTGTAATATTTTAATTTATGATTAAAAAAATTACAATTAAGGTGAGTCATGTGAATTGTGCAAAAGTCAAATTGTTGCATCTAATCAATCTAAAGTAAAGGAATTTATCAATCTATACAAGTAATATTTGTTAAAAACTTATGAAGTATAATCTAGCACTGTTATTTGTAAAAAATAAAAAATATAAAAATAAAAAAATCAACACTGTTAGAAATTATTTTATGCGGGCCTTTTAAAAATAAAAAGTATAGAGAGGTATAACATTTGGAGAATTTTTAGGCGTCTTTAACCAAGTTAAAATATTACTTAATTCATATAATAGTGTCTTACTCTCAATCATGTGTTATGTAGTCGGTGAGGCTCGAACTAATGACTTCAAAGTTATAAGGCGAGTTACCCACCAACTCCGTCAAACTTGCTTAATTTTTAAGTCTAATAATTACGACTCTACATTACCCCACAACCCCACTAGTCAACTAATTTTACCCAACATGCCCATAAACTACCAATTGTATCAAGGCAAAGCTAATGAGCACTCCCGAGACGTTAGATTAGAGAATTAAAAGTGGAAATATTAGAGTAAATCTAACATTAATTACACAAAAACAGAATGACGCGTAATTTTATCATGCATTCTAATTTAATACAATACTTTAACCAATATAAAATTAGTATGTGAATTCCTTATCTAACACCTTACGACGCTTATTAGCAAGATCCTTCTATCAAATATCAAATGCATGATTTATTTGATTTAACAAAATCACTATTTTCATCACATTATTTAAGTAAGACCGTTCCAGAAAGTGAATATTTGTAAATTTTTTTCCTTCCCTCTTTCTCTCTCCTACCCTACAATTCGCCACCTGTAGTTACGCTCTCATAACTGTCAATCTTCTCCTCTCTCCTTTCTCTCTCTCCTACGCCATTTATTCATCCTCCCTTCTTCTTCTTCTTCTTCCAGAAAATTACAGACTCAAATTCAATTTCACAGAATTTTGCTCTGAAATTGAAAAAAAATGGCGGGAAATGACTGGATAAACAGTTATCTAGAAGCCATTCTAGATGTTGGAGGTCAAGGTATCGACGCTTCTAATGGCAAAATGTCGTCGTCTTCACCATCTTCGTTGCTTCTTCGTGAACGAGGGCATTTTAGTCCTTCTCGTTATTTTGTTGAAGAAGTTATTTCTGGCTTTGATGAAACCGATCTTCATCGCTCTTGGGTTCGCGTAATGTTTCTTTCTCTTTCCTCTTTTTCTGATGATTCTCGTCGTTTTTATTGATTTTTGTTTTCTGGAGTTTTGTTTTGGTTGGTTTTGTTTGATGAATCTCATATATTAAATTATTTGATTTCTTTTTCTTTTCTAATTGCGTAATTGTGGAGTTATGTGGTTGGGTTGTAAGTTTATTGGAGTATTTTATTTATTTGATTTACGTGTTGTTGTATGATTAGCTATGATTGAGTAGTTTATTGATTTTTTGAATTAATTATTTTAATGGGAATTGGAATTTATTGAATTCAGTGAAAAAAGGTTGTTATTTTTCTACTCAGCATTTGTTTATATGGAAAATTACTTGGAGGACTTGGGACAAATTGTTGATTAGAGTGTAAATAAGTCGAGTCAAAATAGGGGTGTAAACGAGTCGAACCAAGTAGGGGTGTAAACGAGTCGAGCCCAATATTGGGCTGATAGTGAAATGTTAATGTAATATATAGTATGATTGGACTTAATGGAGCTCATTTTAGATGAGCTCTTACTTTGTTTGAGTTTAATTAATTTGCTACTGGGTGAGCTGAAGGTTGTTCAAATGAGATCCCAAAATGGTCTTATTTTAAAGTTAATTGTACAAATTTGTTTACACACTGAAATAAATGTAACAAGATCCTACCTGATAATTTATTTCTTGTAGGTATAACCCACAATTACGGTCAAACTTCTTATTTTAACCACAAAATTTGTAAGTGCGTATTTTAAAAAATGGAGGTAGTAATTGATACACAATTACGCATAGAACCTAAAATTTGAACAGGTTTTACTAGAACTGTGTGGACTAGACTTGCTGATTGCGTTGAAATGATGGATGTAACTTGTAATTATAGTTATTGAAGTAAAAGTAGCATAGAAAAACGGAGGTGGTATTAGTAATTGATATACAATTACGCATGGAAAATAAAATTTGAATAAGCTGTTGGCAAAATTGTGTGGACTAGACTTGCTATGTGCATTAAAATGAGACACTGAGATCTTAGTAAAATCAAATTTGTTCTGAGTAAAATTTTAGTTTGCTTGGCAACGAGACCAATTTGAATGTGGATCACTATTTTGGGACGAGATAAGCTAATCACAGAAATGAAAAGGCAGAATATTTCCAATATAGATTAGCAAGTTATTATAGAAGTATGAATGGTCAGTGACAGAGATGACTGTTGGCATTAGCTGAAAAATGGAACAAGTATTGAGGGATGTACGAAACTACTGTAATAATGGATTTGCTCGTAAATCAGGAGTACTAACGAGCACGGTTATACTTGGATGAGGTTTGGAAATTTTCTGCTGTTTTCACTATAAGAAATATAAAGATTATAAATTTTATTATTGATTTACACAAGCCTAGAGTTATGGCTAAATTAGTGGAGCTAAATTAGATACATTGACTAAGAAGATTAAATCAGAATTTAATAAAGGAAAAGATAAACATAAGATAAATGCAAGATTATCTTCTAATATGCCCCCTCAAGATGGACGGTCGTGAGACTAGACCAATCTTGGAATGTAATGTAGAGAACCGAGTAAGGGCTAGGGGCTTGGTCAGAGCATCAGCAAGCTGATCATCACCACTGATATGTTGTACACGTAGAGTGCCTAGCTGAACTTGTTCACGAACAAAGTGAAAAGCAAGTGCCAAAATGCTTCATTCGTGAGTGAAAAACCGGATTTTTGGAGTAGCTTACAGCACTTAAGTTATCACAATATATAACCGGTTTGGCAGAGAGAGTAACCTTCAACTCAGTGAGCAAAGAAAGGAGCCAAAGTACCTCTGCCGTAGTGGAAGCAACGGCTCGAAATTCAGCTTCCGTGGAAGAGTTTGCAATACCTTGTTGCTTTTTCGAGCTCCAGGAAATAGGATTCTTTCCCAAATATACAATGTACCCAGTTGTAGAAAGAAAAGTGTCTCTATCACCAGCCCAATCCGCATCAGTGAAAGCATGAAGTATTGGAGGAGAGTTGCGGTGTAGAGTAAAACCATGATCAAGTGTACCATTGCGATAGCGAAGCAAAAGCTTAAGGGCAGCCCAATGTTGATCAGTTGGACAATGCATGAATTGTGACAGTCGATTAACCGCGTAGGCAATGTCCAAACGTGTGAGAGACAAGTATTGGAGAGCACCAACTAAGGCACGATACTCAGTTGGCTTGGGCAGTGGAGACCCAGCATCAGCAAAAAGTGGTGGATGTGCCACCATTGGAGTGGAGACGGGCTTAGCATCTGTCATATTGGCTCGAGCAAGAATATCTCCAATATATTTACGTTGACTTAGAAATAGGCCATGCTCATGTGGTAGTACTTCAACACCAAGGAAGTATGACAAGGGCCCTAAATCCTTCAAAGAAAACCGTGAAGCAAGAGTGTTGATTAGTTGTTGAAGAGCATTAGGAGATGGTCCTGTAGCAATAATATCGTCAACATAAACAAGCAAATAATAACTGATTCCATTGCAATTGTACAGAAACAATGAGGGGTCGGCAACAGAATTCTGGAACCCAACTGAGAGAAGGTATGTGGGAAGCTCAGTATACCAAGCACGTGGTGCTTGTTTAAGACCGTAAATTGCTTTGCGAAGCTTGCACACATGATTGGGCTTATCTTTGTCAACAAAACCCGGGGGTTGAGCCATGTAAACATCCTCATGGAGAGTACCCTGAAGAAAAGCATTATTAATATCAAGTTGCCTAATTGACCATCTACTTGAGATTGCTAGTGAAAGCAACAACCTCACAGTTGATGGTTTAATCACAGGGCTAAACGTTTCTGAGAAGTCAATTCCTGGACGTTGAAGAAAACCTTTGGCAACAAGGCGGGCTTTATAGCGCTCGACCTCTCCATTTGGCTTATACTTGATACGATATACCCACTTGCAGCCCACCAAGTTGGGCGTATCATTAGGTGGAACTAGGACCCAAGTTTGATTGTTTGTGAGGGCATCAAATTCAGCAGTCATTGCAGCCCGCCATTGAGGGTTTTTGAGTGCTTGAGTGATGGTTGTGGGTTCAACATGGGAAGTGGTTGTGGTTGTGTGATGGGCATATTTTTTATTTGGTTTAACAATGTTGTTTTGGAGTCGTGTAACAATGGTGCGAGGTGGAGGAGGGGATGGTGGTTTTGTTTCGGTTGAGGACTGTGTTGCGAGATTTGGAGGAGTTGAAGATGTTGGAGTTGAGGAGGGTGAGGTAGACGTGTGTGAGGGTGAGTTAGTCGTAGGTGTAGTGGAAGTGGAGGGCGTAGGAAGAGGGTCAGAGAGTGTAGTAGGGGAATTGGGAAGTGAAACAGCATCACGAACTATGGGATGAGATGGATGTAATACCGGCATGGGTAGGTTTATGCTCACCCATTCATCAATGGTGGACAAGGACGCAGAGGAAGTAGATTTGCAAAGGGTAGAGTAAGGAAACACATCCTCCACAAATCTTACATGCCGTGATGTGTAGATGCGATTAGTTGAAGGATGTAGACAATAGTAGGCACTTTGAGTGGGGGAATAACCTAAGAAGACACATGGTAAGGATTTGGAGTCTAGTTTGTGAGAGGTGTAAGGTTTGAGCCAGGGATAACAAAGACAACCAAAGGCACACAGTTTGTGATAATTAGGTGAAACACCAAATAATTTGTGATAGGGAGAGGTGTTGTGTAATGTCTTGGTGGGTAAACGATTAATAAGATATGTGGCTGTGGCCAAAGCATGAGGCCAAAATGTGATGGGCAAGGAAGCATGAGAGAGGAGTGCCAAGCCGGTTTCAACAATGTGAAGATGTCGACGTTCGGCATAGCCATTGTGCTCCGGAGTATGAGGTGGAGATGTGAGATGGGAGATTCCATTCGAGGATGAGGATAAGTATGGTGTGAGCTTTTCAAACTCACCACCATTATCGGAAAAGAATTGTACAATCCTACGTTTAAAGAAATTTTCAACTAGAGCCCTAAAACGTAAGAAGACATCATATGTATCCGATTTCTTTTTGAGGGGATAAAACCAAACGTATTTAGTAAAGTGGTCAACAAATATAACATAGTATTTGAACTTGTCATAAGAGAACACAGGAGAAGTCCAAAGATCCGAAAAAATTAAGTCCAAGGGTGCATTAGATGATAGAGTAGAAGAATGAAAAGGGAGTTTATGACTCTTATTAATATTGCAAGCATTACATCCATTAACACGAAAATCAGAAATTGGAAGATTAAAACTAGACTTCAATAATTGAAGAACTTGTTGAGATGGATGCCCTAGACGGTGATGCCAGGGGTGCTTAGGAATGACGGTTGAAGCGAAAACACGAGGAACCCTAGGAAGCCATTCATAGACACCAGCTTTAGTTGGACCTTGGAGGAGGATCTTCCCCTGTGAAAGCTCCTTCACACAAAATAAAGAAGGTAAGAACTCAATTGATGTATTATTTTCTTGACAAAATTGAGAAATGGATAGAATGTTGCGAGAAATGGAAGGAACATGAAGGACATTAGAAAAATTAAAAACAGCGGTGGGAGTAGAGATAGAGAAAGAACCAGTGTGTTGAATGGGAAGAGTAGAGCCATCTCCAATGACTAATTCTTCTGTACTGTCATATGGTGCATGGAGAGATAGGTTAGCCAAATCATTAGTAACATGATGAGATGCACCACTATCAAGGAGCCAAGCATTAGAGGGAGGAGAAGCAGCTGTAGCAACATGAGCCTGAGGGGCGTGAAATGGAGGAGTGTAACCTTTGGAAGGAGTACGGGTATAGGCAGGAGAGGGAACTTGGATGGAAGGATACATGCCTTTGAATGCAGGGAGTAAGTGAGAGTGTGTCCTTGTTCTCGGCACCACTGACACTTGCCGAGAAATGGACGGTGTGGTGGGGTAGGAGGAGGTGGGTTCGGGGTAGCAGGATATGACATATTGGTAGGAGAAGGCGCAGGAGACACATGAGGCATGGATGATGATTTAGAGGAAGACTGTTTGCGATGATGCATAGCATTCACCGAGGCAGGGAAGGAAGAGGAGGGTGGAGCTACGGGAATGGTGAGTTCTTTGGTGATTAATTTTTCATGAAGTTCCTCAAAGGAGATGGGAGTGTCACGAGCATTGACAGCATCAATCACAGACCTTAATTGGTCATAATCAAGACCATTGAGGACTTTGTCAATAAGGTCCTCGTGGTCCATGGGTCTTCCCATAGCAGCCAGTCTGTCGGAGCATTGTTTAATTGATTGCATGTACTCAGAGATAGATTGAGTAGTATGCGTGATCTGGGCAAGATGGGCTTTGATTTGCTTGAAGTGCCCACGAGACGGATTGGCAAAGGTAGAAGCCAAAATGTTCCGGGCTTCATGAGATGAGGCAGATTGTGTGATTAAGGGTACTAGGTTTTGAGAAAGAGTGCCAACAATAGCACTAAATACTAAACGGTCTTGGCGATACCAGGCTGAGGCAGCAGGGTTGGGTGCAGGAGAGCCGTTAGTAGTGATTGTTTTGGGGGGAGACGGGAAGGTTCCATCCACAAACTTCCACGCATCGTACCCAAGGAGTGTGGCCTGAAGATGAGTTTTCCAGGCGACATAGTTGGAGGGAGTAAGTTTGATGCAATTCTGGACATTGATGACAGTGAAGGGGGTTGCTGGGTCATCATGATTAGGAATGGTAGTGGCAGACATGGTGATAAAAAGGAGCGGAAGCAAGGAATAGGATCAAAAACCAACTGATACCATATAAGAAATATAAAGATTATAAATTTTATTATTGATTTACACAAGCTACAGTAGCCGTATATATATAGATACAATATTAACAACTATAGAAAAACTAAGCCTAGAGTTATGGCTAAATTAGTGGAGCTAAATTAGATACATTGACTAAGAAGATTAAATCAGAATTTAATAAAGGAAAAGATAAACATAAGATAAATGCAAGATTATCTTCTAATATTCACTGGCTTTATGTTACTGTTGGTTGTCAGTTCTGAAATCAAGAATTTTGTTTCCCCTGCTTCTTTAAACATTGGTTTGTACTTTGTAGTATGATATTTTTCATAGAAATAATCTGTGTTGTTTTATTATGTAATTATTTGCTTTTCCTCCTCCCTCTTAAAATTATGTCGATGCGTATTGATTCATTTAGTTTTGACTGTGGAGTGTGGTAGTACATTGTAGGATCAACTTTTTTTTTCCTTTATCTTGGATTTGAATGCTGTTTCTGGTTACTAGTTTGGCATTCTGAAGATTTCAGTGTTTCCCTGTTTGTATAGGCTGCATCAACTCGCAGCCCTCAAGAGAGGAATACACGGTTGGAGAATCTGTGTTGGAGAATATGGAACTTGGCACGCAAAAAGAAACAGGTACGATTAATTTGCTCTATTTTGTTAGTTACCAAGTATTAGAATAGAGGGCCTAAGGGATATGCAGGTAAATATTCTTCATAAATGAATTTTCATTTGCATATATATTAATTTTGCTTTGTTACATGTGCAATTGATGTCAGTTCTGGATGGCTTTTTCTGCTGCCGTTATTTTTCTGCTTCTCATATGCAATTTGTATGTAGATCGAGGGAGAGGAAGCTCAGCGTGTGGCTAAACGCCACGTGGAACGCGAAAAAGGTCGCAGGGAAGCTACTGCTGATATGTCCGAAGACTTGTCAGAAGGAGAGAAGGGAGACACTGTTGCTGATATGTCATTTGCTAGTGATAGCACTAAAGGAAGAATGCGTAGAATAAGTTCGGTGGAAATGATGGACAATTGGGCTAGTACCTTTAAAGAGAAAAAACTCTACGTTGTGTTAATAAGGCAAGAATAGAGATACATGGTTGTTTAGCTCTATGTTTTATTCATATCTATTTTGATTGATTTTCTCTAGAACAAATTTCTTTCAGGGCTGAGTTAGATTGAAATACTTGTGATTCTTGTTAGTTTATTGTTTTTAACAATCAATGTTGTTGCAGCCTTCATGGCTTGATACGTGGGGAAAATATGGAACTTGGTCGCGATTCTGATACAGGTGGTCAGGTAGTTTTTGCGTTTTATTCTAGCATTTTTTTCATTTTGACCTGTTGTCTGCATATAATAATGTTTACTGGAAGATTTATATGTGGTTTGACATGATATGTCATCATGATTGTTACTCAGGTAAAGTATGTAGTAGAACTTGCAAGGGCACTTGGGTCAATGCCTGGAGTTTACCGCGTTGATCTACTGACAAGACAGGTTTCAGCTCCAGGGGTAGATTGGAGTTATGGTGAACCTACTGAGATGTTGTCTCCAAGAGAGATTTCAACAGAGCAGCTTGGAGAGAGTAGTGGTGCTTATATTATCCGCATACCATTTGGGCCAAAGGATAAATATATAGCAAAAGAGCTACTTTGGCCATACATTCCAGAGTTTGTCGATGGTGCACTAAGTCACATAAAACAGATGTCCAAGGTTCTTGGTGAGCAAATTGGTGGTGGATTGCCTGTTTGGCCAGCTTCAATCCATGGGCATTATGCAGATGCTGGAGATTCTGCTGCCCTTCTATCTGGTGCTTTAAATGTGCCAATGGTTTTTACTGGTCACTCCCTTGGACGAGATAAGCTTGAACAGCTGTTGAAACAGGGGAGACATTCTAGGGAAGAAATAAATGCTACATACAAAATAATGCGTCGCATAGAGGCTGAGGAGTTGTGCATTGATGCCTCTGAAATAATTATCACCAGTACTAGACAGGAAATTGAAGAGCAGTGGCAGCTCTATGATGGATTTGATCTAGTTCTAGAACGCAAACTAAGAGCTAGGATGAGACGTGGTGTGAGCTGTCATGGCAGATTTATGCCCCGTATGGCTGTGAGTGTTCAATACCTTTTTCTGGAATGATCTATAAGACTATCTACATAGACCTGCAGTTATCTGTTGTCTTTTTTCCCTTCTCTGTGGCTTCTTTTTTTGTGCTTGTTTGTCATAATTATAATGGAGGTTTTGTAATCATTCAGAGAATTCCTCCTGGCATGGAATTTCACCATATTGCTCCACATGACGTTGATATGGAAACAGATCTTGATGGACATAAAGATAGCAATGCCAATCCAGATCCACCAATATGGTCTGAGGTCAGTGGAGCATTTCTGTGTAATATATCACTAAGAGATTTTTGTCTTAGCTTTTTCTTCGTTTTTAGCTGGCTAGTGTTTTGTTTTAGTAACTTGCTATGCAGTATGGGTGGCTTTGACATATGGATAATCTGCATCCTTCTGACCCTATCTCTTGGCAGATTATGCGTTTTTTTACAAATGGGCGCAAACCAATGATACTTGCTCTAGCCAGGCCAGATCCAAAAAAGAACCTTACAACGTTAGTCAAGGCTTTTGGTGAGTGCCGTCCATTGAGGGAACTCGCAAACCTGGTATGTCTATCTGATCTTATTGTCTCTTTGTGTGTATCATAGGGCATCTGACTTCATTAGTTCTATAAAAGAATTGCTTGTTACATTAGGCTAAGTAGGCTAATAGATTATTATGTCCATCTCAGAAAGAGTGTTGTGTAATTCTCTCTTTTCTTCTTACTCTTCCAGACTCTGATTATGGGAAATCGTGATGATATCGATGAAATGTCTGCTACAAATGCATCTGTCCTGATATCTATTCTCAAATTGATTGACAAGTATGATCTGTATGGTCAAGTGGCATATCCTAAGCACCACAAGCAGTCTGCTGTTCCTGATATATATCGTCTGGCTGCCAAAACAAAGGTACTAGAATTTTCAGGTGAAGAGAGTATGTACCATAATTTAAGCTTTAGTGGCAGACATCAGAACCACAATGTCTGTTTATTTAGCTCTTAAGTAGCTGGCGTTCGTTGCCAATGGGCTTGGTGTTGGTTTTAGTCTTGTTATTAACCTTTTAGTCATGCTTCCACGGGTCATCAATTCAATGAAGATCAACTGATTATAAGTAGCAGGAAGCTTTCAATGAACATTTAATTTGATATTTCTTTCATCAGCTGTCCCTTTTTTCCAGACAGTAACTTTAACATTATACAGCCCAAAATGATTGTCTACCTTTTTAAAATGATCTGGCCATAGCATTATGCTTAAGTTTCTTCCATAGTATTTACTTTTTCAGGAAATAGTCGTCACATTCTTCCTATCTCTCATGCTTAAGGATATATTTATATGTAATATAATTGAGCCATTCCCTTTTGTTCTCATCACTTGGTATATGCATCTTGGAAAGTCCAATCATAAACTTTACAAAGTATGTTCTCTCTATCCAAATTAGCATGATTGATGATTATTTTCAACAAAGGGAGTATCATTTGGATTGAGTCATGGTTACATGGATGGTAGGGGCTTATATATGCTGAAGCATTTTGAGTCTAGACTCTATGTCTAACAAGGCTACTTTCATGGCATACTGAAGCTAAGTAATGCATGCAGTACATTCTTACTGTCATAATGATTTTATCCCACTTTTTGGTGTTTTGTAGGGTGTGTTCATCAATCCTGCCTTTATTGAACCATTTGGACTGACTCTAATTGAGGTGCTGTTTTAATCATTTTTTGAAGTTTTACAGCCATAACTTTATTCTATAGCAGTTGACAGTTTTTCTTAATTTTTCTTTCATTGTGTAGGCTGCTGCCTATGGTTTACCAATTGTCGCAACAAAGAATGGAGGCCCTGTTGACATTATTGGGGTCAGTTAATTTGTAATGCTTAATGTGGTTATATGAATACTGGATGTTGATAGCTGTTTTTCACTAACTACTTGTGGATTAATTATTACAGGTTCTGGACAATGGGCTTCTCATTGATCCTCATGATCAGCAATCTATTGCTGATGCTCTCTTGAAGCTTGTAGCAGAAAAACACCTATGGATGAAGTGTAGACAGAATGGGTTGAAAAATATTCACCTCTTTTCATGGCCAGAGCACTGTAAGAATTATTTGTCCCGCATAGCCAGTTGCAGACCTAGGCAACCAAATTGGCGAAGAATCGATGAAGGATCTGAAAATTCAGATACAGATTCACCCGGTGATTCTCTGAAAGACATTCATGATATATCATTGAACTTAAAGCTTTCACTGGATGCTGAGAGGACTGAAGGAGGCAACAGTCTTGATGATTCACTAGATTCCGAAGAAGCTGCAGGAAATGCAAAGAGAAGAATAGAGAATGCAGTCTCAAAATTGTCAAAGTCAATGGATAAAGCACAGGTTGATGTTGGTAATCTAAAGTTTCCAGCTATTAGGAGGAGAAAGTGTATATTTGTCATCGCTCTGGATTGTGATGTGACTTCAGATCTTCTTCAAATTATAAAGAATATTATTTCTATTGCTGGAGAGCAAAGAGTGACAGGATTTATTGGAATTGTACTGTCAACATCTATGACCTTATCTGAGGTTAATTCTCTTTTGGCTTCAGGAGGCTTGAAGCCTACAGATTTTGATGCCTTCATTTGTAACAGTGGCAGTGAACTTTATTATCCATCTATGGGTTCTGAGGATAGCTCATCAGAGTCTCCGTTTGTGTTGGATCAAGACTACTATTCACATATTGACTATCGCTGGGGAGGAGAAGGTTTGTGGAAGACTTTGGTGAAGTGGGCTGCTTCAGTCAATGAGAAAAAGGGAGAGAATGCTCCAAATA